AAATATCACTTACTCGAACCGTTCTGACCCCTAGCTCAGTTGGAAGAGCATTGGGCTAGTATTCAAAAGGTCGTAGGTTCGAATCCCACCGTGGCCGGGCATATTTTCAAGCTCGCCCGGTGTGGATACACACTCAGAGTAACATCACAAATATCATATTCACCTGAGTACACAACACCGACACAGAAAAAAAAACATAGTAAGTTATTATTTTCTATTTTTACAAAAACAAGTTTGGAAACAGGATTTAGTCCTCCAGCTTGATGTCACGTTCCATTTATTTGGATATTTCAATAAAGGAATGTGAAATAATTTAATCTTGTGCAAAATGTGATACCAACAGACATGTGAACAGATACTATCACCTAAAAATAAAACAAAACAGGACTTAAATTTATCATCTGATGCTATGAAAAAAATCTTAGATACTACAGGCATATAGTGAGCACAATTCTTTACTGAACAAACTCACTAAGATAAGTTAAGTTATACTATGATAAGAGGATGGCAATATATAACAACATCAAATGTTGTCATCTTCAGTGTCCAAAAAAAGTCCCGCGCGCATTTTTCGTGGTCACATAACTGGTGTTGCCACAAACCCAGGTGAAAAAGCAATTAGAAAAACCTGGTTTTGGGTGATGAGCATAGTCAAATTCTTGACTTATTCAATTGTTTATGTTTTTCCAGGTAAACAGATTAAACATTGAAATAGAATCCAAACTATTGTGTATGGACCAGACTTTTTTCAACTTTCTGTGATTTACATCACACTAGTTATAATTTAAGGTAATGTTTAAGACATATTCTCCTTCCAGAACACCTTTTCAAAATACTAACCCAAACATATAAAAAATAGTGTACATTACTGTATTTACAAGGGCAATTTCAACCCTCTGGCACGTTTTTCCCATGAATGATTTCAATTCTAACAAAAAGATTATAGATAAATAAAAACTTTGATTTAAAGCTAGTTTCAAGTGATGAGCATACCCTAATTTTTAAGCTATACCTCAAAGAAGATGGGCCATTTCAACATAAACATTGAATATGGGTATACTGACAGCTCTGTCACACGTGTAGTTTGTCATTAGCAGCCTTTCTGAAACATTTTAATGAAAGTATTATTCACAAAATTCACATTTTCACTTACTTCTTAACATCTGTTTTAATCCAACTAGCTTTGTAGGGACGAGCGAAATTTAGTGTTGATTGTAAATATCCATTTAGTTCATGTGTCCTCGGTGAAAATATAGTCTATTCCAACGCTGATTTCGACGTACTTTAGCTTTTCAGAGACCGTTGGCCTTCCTCAATGAGATTATCAACTGTTTCACAAACATACTTGATAGTAAACAGCTAAAATATTCTCCGAAAGTCTATTTTTGCTCTTCGACGCGAAAATGGCAACTCAAGAAGAAATAAGCCGCTATTTTTGGTCAGCGTCGACAAATTGCCCACCTGTTTTTCCAAAGTCCTTTCCTGACCCTTCTATGGCGCGCTCCACTTCCTGACTTCGTCGCTCGGGTCGCGCGTTCCCTTCCCCGCGCCCTCTCTCCCCCATGGTCGACTTGTGACAAGTCTAATGTGCTCACTACACGAAAGTAAAATTTCGTGCCAGAGACTAAGTGTCGATTAATGCATATAATTATAATACTTATTATTCATTGTACTGTGAAAATGAATAATAAAACAATTATTGAATTCGGCTTGCGCAGGATACCAGAATTATTCAGACCTCGGTCAATGTTATCTGCCTCAGCCTTCGGCTTCGGCAGAAAACATTGACCTCGGTCTAAATAATTCTGGATATCCTGCTCAGCCTCATCCAATAATTGTTAAAAATCACTTTGAAAAATACCGATACGCGAAATGTTGTTATTTTGTATTTTCGACCGGTTAATTTCGCTTTATATGATATCAAAAGCTAAAACAATCACTATAATATGATTATTTAGGATTTAAAAGCATCACAAGTGTATTTATTGTGATTTTTGCTGCTGTACGCTAACTTTATTATGAGCTGTTATAAGCGAGGATTTTGGTCATGCGAATCGTGCGACCGACAATTATTCAATCAGAATCCGGTGTTTCTTGTATAAAATAATATAGTTAGTCATGCTCTTCACAAGAAGCATGACCATTGACCAAGAAATGAAACACGTGTAAATAAAGAGCACAGTTGATTGGTAACAGGCCAGTGATGCAACAAAATTGCGTAATATTAGGCCGCGGCTATTGTTTTGCTCTTTTATATCATTAGAAAGCTCGAAGATTTTAGACTATTTAACAAATTTAACTGAATGGAACGATGTGTCGTAAACTCGGCGCAACTATGAGGCATTTTTATTGCAAAAAGAAAAGAAGTATAATGCACATTTTTGGGAAAATGTTTGGCTTCGTCACTGTGCATCTTCAAAACAAAATCGCTCCTTCTACAGTCGCCATGTCGTTCGATTGCAAAGTGACGACTCCTACCGTCATGCATGGCCGACATCGCTATTTGGCAAGTGGCCCATTATCTGCATGGGAATTTGGAATATCACCTGTGCACACCAACAGTTGCAATTAGAAGATCTGATTGAAATGTACATTCATCGCAGTGTAGTGTGCATAATTGTGTGTGCATTCATCGCAGTGTGTGTAATATTATTAATGGTACTAGAATATTTATGGGAAGTACAAACCTCTCAGCCTTTTAACTTTTTCTTTCAGAATACTTTCGGACACGATATACATAGAAAAGGTAAAGCACACTTGTTTATCTAGAGGTAGTTTGTTTAAGATTGCTTCGACCAGACGGGGGAAATCCCATTTGTTTCGATGGTTATTGCTAATGAGGTAGATATCGCTGTCACCACCTAGGAGCAGGCCTTTTAAGTTGATAAAACAGTTTTCTTTGATCTTCTTCAGCAATTCCTCTTCGGTGAGTGCTTTTTTCTCCTCATTTTTGCAGTCGATGTCAATTTTCGTGCGGATAAACAAGAAGGGTTTGGAAATGGATTTAAGTTTCTTTGCCAGTTTGACATCGTTTTCAGTAAACCGTGTGGCAGTAATGATCACAAACTCGTCATACTCTTTGAGATCGTTTGTTTTGCAAAAGACTTTCAGATCAGGGTATTTGGTTGAGCCTATACCTGGAAGATCCCAAAGTGTGATCAACGGGTTTTTTGGATAAGGATACCAGTGTGGAGCCATTGTAGTCTCGATTGCTCCCGTTTTTGCTGCCTTCGCGTCATTATTTTCCAGTCTGTGAAATGTAGTAAACTTTTCTTAAGAACACATTGTTTTGGAGGAAACCTGTATAGCCGTATGCCCTATAGTACTTTATAGTTTATATAGTGAAGTTCAATAGGCAACAAATTATTCTAATATAGTCTAGAAAACCAACTATGCATTGCACTTAACTAATAATTTTATGGCCTTATCGTCATTCGCTTCACTCTAACTCCAAGTATGTAAGAACACGAGACTAAAATTTTGCGCCAACGTGAGTTTATTATGCTATTGTTTAGGCTAACTGAGACGGCTTATTGGGAGATGTCAAGGTTTCGGTTGGAGCCGCGCAATAACCACGACGAGCAACTACTGTACCAATCGTCCCATTCAGTAATTACCAATAGACAAGATGCTAGACAACTATTGCGTATTTCTCATTTGAAATGGCAAACGGAAAATCCTTACCCTCTTAAAGCATTAATAAAGCTTGATTTCCCAACACCGGAATTTCCAATGACGGCCAGTTTTATTGCCTTATTTTGATATTCTTCAAGAGCTTTGTCCATTGCTTTCTTAGCTGCCTGTATACCCTTTTCCTTAACTTCGTGAGCAAAGTCCTCCAGGTTTTTTCGACAATTGCGAAGCAATGTAGCTAGATATAAAATAGATAAACGAATGCTTATGCCTTCAAACCGGTTACGGGCGACAAAATAAACACCAGGCAGCTCGGTTGTGGGGGGGGGGGTCGATAAGGATGCCTTAAAGTATGTTTTATAGTTGTCATTTTTTGTGGCCAGGAAGTGAGAAAACAACACTAAAGTGCAGCATGGCCAATTACCCGGGGGGAAAAACGCGTAACCAATCGCCACGCAGCCGCCACGCCAAGTCCCTTGCCAGTGCACTAACCAGAGGCACTCACTCCTGAATGTCTAAACTAAACAAAGCTACCAATTTTAATGTTGCGGGAGAGGGGTGGTGGCCTAGTGCCTTTGTATGTGTATATTCTGTGTTACCCAGGCAAAGTTTTTTCGGGTGTCGCTATAACCAACTCACAGGAGTAAGCAGGTGGTATTTACAATCTTATAAAAAGGGACCACTCTTTGATGTCTCATTTTCTGACCAGTAAGCATTTGTTTACATACTGGCTGTTTCCTAATTTAATACTTTCAAACCATGTTATTTCTAACAAAACACACTCGTATACATAAAACACAGTTCGGTGTAGTCAAGCACTCTACGGAGTTGTTACTGGGTACTCTGCTGTTAGGCAGAACAAATAATAAATTAGGGTGTATCAGGGCGCATTTCCGCTTAAAAGGTTAATTAACTGGATGCATTGGCAGCACTTCCCTTGACGTGTATAATCGTCTGGTATTAGACAGTAAAATAATAAAGTAGGGGTGCAAATCGGTCGTTGTGTTACGAAAGTATATCTAAATAGTATAAAAATAGTTCAGTTTGCACCCCAGGTAATTTTCGATACTAGTTACGTCAAATGGAGAGATAATGAACATTTTTGCTGTAAAACGCAGATAAAGTATATATCATTTCGGACTTGTGTAAAAGTGTCAATTATCTGTCCATTAGGCAAGATAAATAATTTGTCAAAGTTGGACGATAACCTTGCATGGTGGGCTGTTGTGTTTACATAATTCAAAGTCCAAGGCTGGTTATTCTTTGACATGAAAATGTGCATGCTTAGGGCCTTTCTGTCAATTATTCTTCGGTATATTTCGCGCGGTTGAGTAATGATAACATTACGTCATCAAAATCTTGGTTCAATAAAATTGTAAGTGAATTTAGTTTAGTAGGTAAAGTAAGGTTCACATAAGGTATAGTTTGAAGTTTTTACTATGATATTTTGATAAGTATTTTAAGTTGTGAACATGTTTTAATGATGATCTATTGAACAGCGAACCAACTCGACCAGTGCGACAACGCCTTAAATAAACAGAATTTGAGAGCTGGAACAAGCTAGCAACGCCAACCCACACTTTTAAAACTCAACGTTGATTAGCTGGATACTAATCACACCACTTGCTACATCACGTGTGTAAAGATCCCTCAACCGTTAGTATAAAAGGACGTGCGCAACACAAATTCGCTAGTGGATGATCTTTCAGTGGATGATCTCTCAGTGGATTCTCAGTGGACTATAGAGTGAAGTGAAGTGAGTGAACATAGACTTGCTAGTGGACTCTCCAGTGAACTATCAAGTGGACTCAACGAAGTAAAAATTATCTATGAAAAGTTGCCGTAACAGTGGACTATCGAGAAGAGAACTTTGAAGCAGAACTATTAACATTAGTATAACAATAATTACGAAAGTTGTATAACGATTCACTGCCTAAATAAAGCCTCGTAACAGTTGTATTACAGTAGATTGCTGAGTTTTTGTACAATTTATTTAATTATGTTTTGTATATATCTATTGAACACTCTGCCAAACGTTTTTATAAACTACGAAACCTAATTGCTGCGAGCGCCGGCGAGCAGCCACCTATTATTTATAAGTAATAGCATAAAAAGAGGCGAATTAGCTATTAAAACGTCCCGCCCGATAAGAGTCGTTTAGTAAAATTCCCTTGGGCGCCGCTCGTTGAGGGTCATTTACTAAAATTAAACTAAATGACCCGAATCGAGCGGCGCCTAAGGGAATTTTACAAAACGACCCTCATCGGGCGGGACGTTTCCAATAGCTAATTCGCCTCTTTTTATGCTATTACCTTATAATATCATGATTGCGGGTATTCCCGTTGTTCTCGCAGGGGCATTAAAAACCAATTAACAATATATAATGGTATAAATTAAATGGTATAATTGTTTTCCATGTCTTTGTTTAGTTATGGCGATTTCAGATATCTTCATTTATATTCATTTTTGTGTCTGCGCTAGCGCAGATACATTGCCATCGTGCAGACCGTGTGTTAGCCCGGAGCGAATCAGCGATCAGCATCACGTGTGTCATTTTGATCTCAATATTTTGCAAAACCGTAAAAAAATGTAACTGGATGGATATATTGATCATATTCAATAAATTTAAAATGGCCGCCTTTGATGGAGTGAATATACGTAAATTAAAACGATAATGTCTGCATTAAACAAAGGTTTTTAATTTAACTACCCTGCTATAAACAACACTCGACATGTTCACAGAATCACACAACGACTTTTAATACACTAGTATCAGAAACATTTAAAACATTGTGGTAATCGGCCACAAAGATTATATTCGTTGTAGCCGAAGAAATACTGTCATGTTGCAAAGTAAAACGTGCAAATACAAAGATAAATTTCACATGTGAAAACTGATACTAAGCCAAGGTCGCGTTTACACTATGACGCTACGGTAATTTTAATACCGTAGCGTAGTGATTTGCAGCCAGAGTGGAAAATGTAGTGGTCCGTAGTTAATACGCAACGGCAAACCACTCCGTTATAGTGTAAACACAATCTATTTTCAATACCAGAAACGTAGTAAATTTTTGTCGGATTGCTAATAGCCGTAGCGTCATAGACATGTGTAACTAAGTGAAGTCTAGTGGTCATTGCCCGTTGTTTTCTTGTCCGTTGTTTATCATTTGTAAATGTAACTGTTATATTCGTCTTTATCTCGTCATTGGCAACATTTTGATATATAATTTACAAAGCTTTGTGGATCATTTCATGTTTTTATTGATATTTTTGAAATTGCAGCGTATAAGCCCGCCGCACACGAGAGCAACTTGCTGAGCTAACCGCCTCGCGAGGCCGTTAGCTCAGCTATGTATTTTCACCGCACAAAACTACTCAACAACAACATAATTAACAAAATTATTTGCATTTTCCTCCATTTTGTTCCATGTCAAATGAAGAAACCATGGTTTGTCATTGGCTAATTGATTGAAACAGCTCAGCACTTAGCTCACAACATCCGCAGACGCTGAGATTTTTACGATCCTCACGAAAACTATCCGCACACGGGAGCTACTTGCTGAGCTAACTCAGAAATTATATTAACAACCAAATTAAGCTAGCAAAATCTAAGTACTATCAAGATTCCGTGAACGCTAATAAGGATAATCCCTCTGAACTTTGGAAAACATTAAATGAACTAACATCTCGCAGTAAATCTGGTACAAACCCGTCATGTATAATCTCTGAAGAAAAACCCATCACTGACCAAAAATCCATAGCAACAATTTTAAACGAGTATTTCACATCTATTGGAAGAAAACTAGCAGATAAGATTAAAAGTACATTTCAACTTAAAAAACCACCGCTATCCCCTGATCTACCGTACAGTTTCGAGTTCAAAGAAGTAGACGAGTCCTTCATTCTTCGAGAGCTCGGATCTCTTAAAACAAATAAAGCTACCGGTCTAGATCAAATCAGCGCAAAGTTACTAAAAGATTCCTCCTCTATTATACCATCTGGTCTAACAAAGATAATTAATGCCTCGTTCGTTTCACAAACATTCCCAGATATTTGGAAAAAAGACAAGATTATTCCCTTCTTCAAATCCAACGACCCAACATCTCCTAATAATTACAGACCTATAACTATTTTACCAATCGTAAGTAAAATAATGGAGCGCATAGTTCACAGACAAGTGTACGAGTACTTACAAGAGCATGATCTAATCACCTCAGAACAGTTTGGTTTTCGCCCTAAGTTATCCACAAGCCTACTTCTTTTCCAGATTTAGCTGGGGGCACGTCATTCATGAGTTCAAATTCATTATTTTTGTTCAATTTGTCCTTTTTTATGAGGTCTGTCTTACAAACTAATTTTTTAAAAGGTGTAGGGAGGAGAGACAGGCAGAGGAATCGAACATGATACCACAGAGTACATATACAAATCAAAATCGGATTCCTTGTCCGAACCTTTGATGTTGTCGCAACTGCCGCCATATGAAAAAAAAATGTCAGGCGTTCAAAGGGGGGAGGGGGGAACGCCTCTCATTAGCGCACTGGCTAGGGAACATGGCGACTGCATAACAGCTGCATGGTGGCTGGATACAGTCAACATTTTACGCAGATAAATGCACGCCTAGCGTGCCTGTTTTTTCTAATCGTACCCGCTTTGACGTCGTATCGGGTAGGATTAGAGCTAATCCTACCTGACATGACGTAAAAGCGGGTAGTATTAGAAAAAATGAATATAATGAGGTGTTATTTATGAGCGTTCTCTGACTTAATATTTATTTCTACGAGCTTTCGGCTATCAGTCTATAGTACAGTTCTATACTATAGTTAGTATAGTCAGTCTATACTATAGTTAGTATAGTTCGGGTACACCCGTCGAAGACTATAGACTGATAGCCGAAAGCTCGTAGAAATAAATATTAAGTGTTAAGTCAGAGAACGCTCAATAAATAATGTTTCAACCTGGCTACGCATCTTCTATTTTTTCAATAATGAGGTGTATTAGTTTTTAATTGCCCTGCGAGAACAAAGGGAATACCCGCAATCATGATATTATCTCGTTGCTGCCGAAGGCAGCCACCTATTCGTGACGATGTGTTTTTCTCGCACCGGTCCGTTTCCGGTTGGCCGAGTTATGTATAACCGAACGACAAGTCGAT